AAATTTTCTGTTAACTAGACACTTCAAGACCCAAATAACTAATTAGAAGAATCAAACATGTCACATGATTATTATTCCATGCTGAGGGGTTATTCTTCGAATGAAATGGACAACATTGATATTGCTAAAGATAAAGGTCTTAAAACTCCTGAAATAAAGAATTCTGTACCTATTACTACTTTTAACTACTTTAGCCTCTTGATTTCTGGCTGATGAATTGGACTAACTCACTGCCATTCCCATACTACCTGAAACACACTATGAAATTTCACCTGATGTATAAGATACCAGACTTATAAATATTTAAAACCTCAATTTAGTGTTAATTAGTCTTTTAATGTAAATACTTACATATTTAAACCACTAGCAGTGGGATAATCTTTTGCAGTACATCCAAAGGTATCTTCAGAAAAAACATCAGTATCTTGCTCAAGAAGAAGAGTGACTATATTTGGTGATTTACAATGTGCAGCAAGTGCGAGGGCTGTTCTAAAATAACAGAGAGATAACTTCACGCATAGGAACTTCAATAAAGTTATTTAAAATGCTAATTTAATATACATTACCAGCTGAATATTTTGCCTGTCAGTGTAGAATTAACCATTTACATGTACTAACTGGCACAAGCATCCTGGCTGCTCAAGTGTTCTTTATAAATTACCACCAAGGTTAAAAGGAAGGGACAAAAAGGTAGCCATTTGTCTCATTAAGGTATGACATAGTAGAAGTTGGTCATTCTTTGCTGAGATCACTTATGTAAGGTAAGCAAAGTATTAACTGAAGTACTGTCCATGTCTTCCCTATTTTGATATAATGTACTGTAATTCAAAGTCACTAGGGGTCACTTAAGTAAGAGCTATCTGCAGGCTTAAAACAATAACATCAATAATAATGATAAAAATAGTAGTCATATTAGTTGCAGTTAATCATGCCGACGAGCATGCGCTGGGCACCGAATTCAGTGTTCTATATATGATCTTACTTGTACACAACCACCATGGAAAGGCATATTGTTATTCTCCTTTTCATATTAGAATACACATTTGGTGATAAGTAGTGTTTCCAAGGTCATACACCTAGCAAGTGGGAAAGCTACAATTCAAACCCGGTCTTATGTGAATGGAAAGCCACTTTTCCCTTTATCATCCACTTATGGCTTATCTTCTTCATTAAAGAAAAATGTTATCCAAATAAAGTTGTCTTTCTCCCTTTTCTCATAACAGTTAAGAAGAAAAAAATCAAAATACGTTAGAAATAAAAATGGTGAGGAG